CTTAGTAATTTTAAAAATATCGAGAAATTGAAAATTCGAAAAATCGAAAAATTGCAATATTGAAAAATGTGAAATTTAAATTATCGAAAAATTGAAGAGCAGAAAAATTTAAAAAATAAGAAATCAAAAACTGACAAAACCAAAATGTCGAAAGTTGGGAAATCGAAAAATTGAAAAATCAAAACATCGAAAAATCGAAAAATCTAAAATTTGAAAAAAGATATGTGGAAAAATCGGGCAATCGGAAAACAGAAGATTCAGAAAAGGTAAAATTGAAAAATTCAAAAATTGGAGAATCAGAAAAGTTGAAAAATGGAAAAATTAAAAAATAGTAAAACCAAAATACCGGAAAATTGAGAAACCTAAAAATAGAAATTTCGAAAAATTAAAAAATCGAAAAATTGAAAAATCCCAAAGCTGAAATGACGAAAAAATGGAAATTAAAAAAAATTTTAAATATCGAAAAATTGAACAATCGAAAAAGTGAGCATTTCCAAAACTGACACATTGAGAAAGTGACTAATCAAAAAATTGAAAAAAAAGAAATATCGAGAAATCGAAACATCAAAAGACCGAGAAATCGAAAAATCAAAAATTCGAAAAAATGCAAAATCGAAAAATGTAAAATTTAGTAATTTTCAAAATATCGAGAAATTGAAAATTCGAAAAATCGAAACATTTAAATATAGCAAAAATTGCAAAATTATTGTAAAATCGAAAAATGTGAAATTTAAATGATCCAAAAATTGAAGAGTAGATTCTCTCTCTTTCATTCCCCCATTTATCACTCTCTTTCGCATTCTTCGATTTGTCACTCTCTATCTCATTCTCCCTTTTGACTGAGACTGAGACTCAAACTAAGACCGATTGAAACTGAAACTGAAACGCAAACGCAAAGGTAAACCGAAACTTAAACCCGAAGTTTCTCCCATTTATATCACTCTTTCTCTTTCATTCTACAATTTATCGCTCTCCCTCATTCTCCTATTTATCAGTGAAACTGGAACTAGAACCGCAAGAACGTAACCGTAAGAACGCAACCGTAAGAACGTAACCGTAAGAGCTTAAACACGAGCTTCAATCTCTCTCATTCTCCCATTTATCACTCTCTTATTTCTCATTCTTCGTTTTATCACTCACTCATTCTCCGATTTATCATCACTCTCTATCTCATTCTCCCATTAGACTGAAACTGAGACTGAGACTCAGACTGAAACAGATTGAAACTGAAACTGAAACACAAATGCAAATGTAAACCGAAACTTAAACCCGAAGTTTCTCACATTTATCACTCTCTATCTCATTCTCCCGTTTGACTGAGACTCAGACTGAGATGAGACTGAGACAGATTAAAACTGAAACTGAAACGCAAAAGCAAACGCAAACGTAAACCGAAACTTGTACCCAAATTTAACGTATCACTCTCTCTTTCTTTCATTCTCCCGTTTATCACTCTCTCTCTCATTCTTCGATTTAACACTCTCTATCTCATTCTCCCATTTAACTGAGACTGAGACAGATTAAAACTGAAACTGAAAATAAAACAGAAACTCAAACGCAAACGTAATCTGAGACTTAAACCGGAAGTTGTTCTAGAAGTTAATCCCGAACTTAATCCCGAAATTAATTCGCATCTTAAAACCAAATTTAACTTATCACTGTCTCTCTTTCATTCTTCCATTTATCAGTCTCTCTCTCATTCTTCAATTTTTCACTCTCTATCTCATTCTCGCATTTTTCAATATTTCTCATTCTCCCATTTATCACTCTCTTTCAATCTCCCTTTTATCACTCCCTGTCATTCTCCCATCTATCGCTTTCTCTCTCATTTTCCATTTATCACTCTCTCTCTCTCTAATTCTCCAATTTATCATTCTCTCTCGATCTCCCATTTATAGCTTTCTCTTTCATTCTCAGTTTTATCACTTTCTCTCATTATCCCATTAATAAATCTCTATCATTCTCCCATTTATCAATCTGTCTCATTCTCCCATATATCACTCTTTCTCTCATTGTCCCATTTATCGGGCTCTCTCTCTCATTCTCCATTTATCACACTCTCTCATTTTCTCATTTATCAATCTCTCTCATTCTCCCATTTATCACCCTCTCTTTCATTCTCCCATTTATCAATTTCTCTCAATCTCCCTTTTATCAATCCCTCTCAATCTCCCTTTTATCACTCTCTCTCTAATTCTCCATTTATCACACTCTCTCAATATCCCTTTCATCACACTCAATCTCATTCTCCCATTTATCACTCTCTCTTTCATTCTCCCATTTTTAACACTCTCTGAATCTCCCTTTTATCCCTCTCTCTCTCTAATTCTCCCATTTATTACACTCTCTCAGTCTCCCTTTTATCACACTCTATCTCATTCTCCCATTTGTCACTCTCTGTCATTCTCCCATTTATCGCTTTCTCTCTCATTCTCCGATTTATCACTCTGGATCTCATTCTCCCATTTGGCGGAGACTAAGACAGACTGAAACTGAAACTTAAACTAAAACACAAACGCAAACGTAAACCGAAACTTAAACCCGAAGTTGGTCCAGAAGTTAATCCCGAACTTAATCCCGAGATTAATTCGGAAATTAAACCCAAATTTACTCTCTCTCTTTCATTCTCCCGTTTATCACTCTTTCTCTGATTCTTCGATTTATCATTCTCTATCTCGTTCTTCAATTTTTCAGTATCTCTCTTATTCTTCGATTTACCACTCTATCTCATTCTCCCATTTTTCAATATCTCTCATTCTCCCATTTATCGCTTTCTCTCTCATTCTCCGATTTATCACTCTCTATCTCATTCTCACATTTGACTGAGACTGACACAGACTGAGACAGAGTGAAATTGAAACTGAAACGCAAACACACACGCAAAAGTAAACCGAAACTTAAACCCGAAGTTTCGCCCATTTATCACTCTCTCTCTCTTTCATTCTACAATTTATCACTCTCTCATTTTCCTATTTATCAGTGAAACTGGAACTAGAACTGTAAAAACGTAAGAACCGAACCGTAAGAACGTAACCGTAAGAGCTTAAACATGAGTTTAAACACGAACTTCAATCTTTCTCATTCTCCCATTTTATCACTTTCTTATTTCTCATTCTTCGATTTATCACTCACTCATTCTCCGATTTATCATTCTCTATCTCATTATCCCATTCGACTGAAACTGAAACACAAACGCAAACGTAAACCGAAATTTAAACCCGAAGTTTCTCCCATTTATCACTCTCTATCTTATTGTCCCATTTGACTGAGACTCAGACTGAGATGAGACTGAGATAGATCGAAACTTAAACTGAAACGCAAAAACAAACGCAAACGTAAACCGAAACTTAAACCCAAATTTAACGTATCACTCTCTCTCTCTTTCATTCTCCCGTTTATCACTCTTTCTCTCTCTCGTTCTTCGATTTAACGCTCTCTATCTCATTCTCCCATTTGACTGAAACTGAGACTGAGACTCAGACTGAGACAAATTGAAACTGAAACTGAAACTAAAACACAAACCCAAACGCAAACGTAAGCCGAAACTGAAACCCGAAGTTGGTCAAGAAGTTAATCCCGAACTTAATCCCGAAATTAATTCGAAACTTAAACCCAAATTTAACTTATCACTCTCTCTCTTTCATTCTTCTGTTTATCAGTCTCTTTCTCATTCTTCGATTTTTCACTCTCTATCTCATTCTCCCATTTTTCAATATTTCTCATTCTCCCATTTATCACTCTCTTTCAATCTCCCTTTTATCACTCTCTGTCATTCTCCCATCTATCGCTTTCTCTCTCATTCTCCATTTATCACTCTCTCTCTAATTCTCCAATTTATCAATCTCTCTCATTCTCCCATATATCACTCTTTCTCTCTTTCTCTCATTTTTAACACTCTCTCAATCTCCCTTTTATCACTCTCTCTCTAATTTTCTCATTTATCACACTCTCTCAGTCTCCCTTTTATCACACTCTCTCTCATTCTCCCATTTGTCACTCTCTGCCATTCTCCCATTTATCGCTTTCTCTCTCATTCTCCGATTTATCACTCTCTATCTCATTCTCCCATTTGGCGGAGACTGAGTCAGCTTGAAACTGAAACTTAAACCCAAACGCAAACGTAAACCGAAATTTAAACCCGAAGTTGGTCCAGAAGTTAGTCCCGAAATTAATTAAGAACTTAAACCCAAATTTAACTTATCACTCTCTTTCTTTCATTCTCCCATTTATCACTCTCTTTCGCATTCTTCGATTTATCACTCACTCATTCTCCTATTTATCACTCTATTTCTCATTCTCCCATTTGACTAAGATTGATGAGACAGATTGAAACTGAAACTGAAACTGAAACTGAAACGCAAACGTAAATCGAAACTTAAATCCGAAGTTGGTCCAGAAGTTAATCCCGAACTTAATCCCGAAATTAATTCGGAATTTAAACCCAAGTTTAACTTATCACTCTCTCTCTTTCATTCTCCCATTGATCACTCTCTCTCGTAAACGCAAAAACGTAAACATGAAAACGTAAACGCAAAAACGTAAACATGAAAACGGAAACGTAAAAGCGTAAACTTAAACCTACATTTTGTTACATTATAATTAGATTCGGAAAGATTGCTAAACTATAACATTGCTAGCCCGTCATTGACAATTTTCTTCATGTCTCTTACCATATCACTCAATGAATTTATCGTAGAGATTAGACACTTCACTTTTAAAATCTATGAATAGGTGTATTGTTGGTTGCATAAGCAGGCACCCTGCTAATCAATAAAATTCCTTAAAAATTACCCAGTCAAAGAAAGATTTAAAATATGTTAGTGATATTATTAGAAATTTCCCACTTGAGAATGTAAAAAGTACGTCACTGGTCGAAGTCTTAAGTGACAGATTGCAATGACTGTTTTTTATTTTGTAATTTATCGTCGGATAAAATTATGTTTATTTAAAAATGTCTTGATTGTTCCCCAGGACATTTAAAAAATCGATAAAAACTTACCAAAGTTTACATTTTTATTGTCACTTATACGTACAGAAATTTCGTAAAGTTACGCAATCAATTTGAATAAAGCGTTGTTAATAATAATTAATAATAATGTTAATATAATTATCTAACGGCGAAGTCCATCCCAATTCCAGTGCTTATGAAACTGTATAATACAATATAATAAAACATTAGACCGCGTCTGGTCGTGGGAATGGTTAAACGCTGTATGTTTGACAACCACTGAAATATCACAGCTTTAGTTTTGCATTCTTGAGCGCAGCACGATACAAATAAATAAATCACAAACAATTATTAATACAAAAATATGTCTCCTAAGCCTAAATGAAACACATCATGACAACTTGGAAAATCTGTGGTCAAAATTCTTCAGCATATTGCAGGCCGGCAGTCTTATTTCGTCGAATTCTTCAAACGTGATCCAACTCTTGAATTTCGCGTACATTTGCCGAACAAACAAATAACCTAAGAACAAAATTGAAACCATATTTCAAAATCAGTCAAAACTCACTTTTTTGTTCAGCACACGCACGTTCCAGATCTTGCAGATACTCCTTTTCTATGGTTTTCTCAAGTTCGTCCAAAGAAAAACCTCTTAATCTTTTAATAAAGTTGCTTTCAACGTAATATCGTATTTTTTTATTTAGAGTACGTCGCGCGACGTAGAAACGCCTACAAAGCAATTTTTTACTGAAAAATGTGGCTAATTTGTTAGTTAGATGCGTTACCGAGTGGATTTAAGGCTGTACACGGTGTCTACATCTTTCGAGCTCTTTTTGGCGTCGGGTGATACATTGTATAAGGCAGTGAGGATTACAACACCAATAAAAATGTACCAATAGTAGGCATTCTATAAAAAAAAATCAGAAGTTTTCTATTTTGTAAGACATAGTTACCTGGTTTGTGTTTTCTGGTTGAGGATCTTGTCGATTTTCCCTTTGTTTCCTATGCGCAGTTCCATTTGTCTGAAAACTTCAACCTTAACCACATTTTTTGTCAAGCAAATTTAGTACCTTTTGTTGACGATCATCATTTTGTTCCCATTCCGCTTTAAAATGACGTTTGAAAAATTCTTCATCATACTTCTTGAAAAATTCCTCTTCGTTAAAAGTTCGATTGGAACCATTAGCTTCTGGTCGCTTCGGAGCTTCATCTGTTCCACCCACATTGCTTTTCGGGGGACCGATTAAAGTTTCTCTAGCTTTGGCTGAAACATGACCGAATTAAATTGAATTAACACTAGCATTACCAGCATACCCAATTTCTTGAAAGCTTCCTCTGCTCCTGGACATTTGTTCTTGTCGGGGTGAACTTTCAACGATACCTTCCTGAACACACGCTCGATTTCGGGCTTGGTGGCGGTTCTCTGGACTCCCAAAATTTCGTAATGGTCGCCACATTTGTTGATTCTGTTGACTTCTTTTTGCTGTGCGGGGGTGCAGCGAGAATGGGGTGGTGTTTGGTGTGTATTGTGGTATTTTGTTTCGGGTTTCGTCATGGTGATTCATCTAGACAGATTGATGTCTAAATGCATGAATAGGTTTTCGTTGAAAAGTAATACTTATCTTCTGATAAGATAAAAATAGTATCGATGGGATTTCCGGGGATTGAATACAATAAATTGTTGTATGTGACACCTTAAAATAGTATTTAAAAGTATAATTACCTACCTATTACAGTAAGCCCTCTCTTGTTTTGGAAAAACATGTCACCACACGGGTTCAGAGTCTTGGAACTTAAGCAAAAACATGGATTATCTTCAAGTAGTGTAGAAGAAATGTCTCCATGTTATTTTTCACAAATCGGATGATAAGGAAGTGGGGTTTCCCGTTCGCTTGAAGTTTTCTCTGAGTACTTCGATATGTACAGTTTTTAATTTCGTTTTTCATTGTTGATATTTCTTATAAATTTAGTTCTTCAAAAGATGCTAAAAAATGCTACAAAAAAATCAACTAAAAAACGGAGACAACAAAAAGAGACAAAAGTAGAGGATTTAAGTTGATCACTACAAAAATTTACCATGTTTTAAGCTTCTTGTGGAAATAAGTCTACACATACTAAGACAAAAAGGCAAAATGTAGCCCCGCCCACCCGCCCTGTCTCAATTGTGATGATTTTTTTTATTCGTCGTGAGCCAAAGGGGCGGAGCTTAACTGCAAAATCCTTATTTCTCTACGAGAAATTAAAAACACGTTTCTGAATATCGTGCTGTTCACAGAATACTATGTGTTGTATATTAAGAAAAAAATAAAGCCGAAGATTGGCCCCACCCATTCCCGCCCAAATCTCAATTCGCAATTGTGATGAATTTTTCATTCGTTGTCAGATCGAGGGCGGGGCTTGATTGCAAGATCGATATCTGTCTACAAGAATTTAATAATATATAATAATAATAATATATATATTTGGTCTCCACAGATACATATATGTATAACAGTATATAAGACAAGTCAAAAAGAAAAAAATACAAACAAAGAAACACTAAAACTAAAAATTAAAAACTAAACATTTAACAAGCAAAATAACAAAAAGACAAAATGATATTGTCAACATGCCATCAACCTTGAAAAAATTCACCTAGGGAATAATAACATTTATCTGTTAAAAATACTTTTAAATTTTTCCTAAATGATGATATTAACTGACAATTTTGAATATTCACTGGCAAGTAATTGAAAATTCTAACTCCCATACAATCAGTTGCTAACACACCAACATTACAACGTTTAAACGGAACATGAATCTGATGTTTTTGTCGGGTATTTACTTTATGTACGTTATGGACATACGTTAGATTATGTCGGTTTTTATAAATGTGAACACTCATTTCAAATATGTATAATGACGGAAGAGTCAATATATTTAATTTTTTAAAAAGGCTTTTGCAGCTTGTATGTTTACTTGCACCGGCAATTGTTCTGATTTACCATTTTGAACATGTTTTAAGTTTTTTGTTCTGAAAAAACAACTACGTATATTATGAAAAAGGCAAAATATAACTCCACCCACCCACCCTATCTCAATTGTGATGATTTATTGTTGTTTCGATTTCTCGATATTTCAATTTTTTAATTTCTCGGTTTTAGATTTTTTGGTTTTTCTATTTTTCAATTTTTCTTTTTTTTTTATTTTAGATTATTCAATTTTTCGGTTTTTTGATTTTTCAATGTTTCTTATTCTCTATTTATTGAGATTTTGATGTTTCGATTTTTCGATACTTTTTAAATGTCGATAAACTTTTCGATTTTTGAGTTTTTAACTCTTCGATTTAGCCTATTTTGATTTTTCCATTTCTCGATTTTTCAATGTTTTAATGTCTCCATTTGTTCAATGTCTTCAATGTTTCCTGTATTTCCAGTTTTTCGTCACTTCTGTTTTGGAATTTTCAAATACTCATATTTTCAGTTCTTCGATTCTTCAACTTTCCGATTTTTCAACTTTCCCGATTTTTAAATTTTGGATTTTCGACTTCTGATCTCGCGGTTTTTCGATTTTTCGACTTCAAATTTTCGATTAGATGTTTTAGGTGTTTAGATTTCTTGATTTTTCTGTTTTTCAATTCTTCGATTTTTCTATATTTTAATTTTCCAATTTTGAAAACTTTATATTTTTTTTTAGACTTCGAATTTTTAAATTTTATATTTTTCAACTTTTCGATTTTTTATATTTAACATCTTTCGATTCTTCAAATTTTCGATTTCTCGATTTCTCAATTTTTCGAGATTTCTGTTTTGCGATTTTTCAATCTTTCGACTCTCCAGTTTTTCGATTTTTAAGTTTTTCAATTTGTCAGTTTTTCATTTAGTGACATTTTTAAATTCTCAATTTCTGGATTAATTGATTTTTGATTTTCCCATTTCTCGGTTTCTCGATTTCACAATGTTCGAATTTTCAATTTTTCAATTTTTCGCATTTTTTCAGTTTTGCGATTTTCAAGGTTTAAATTTCCAATTTTTTTGATTTTCGGCCTTTGGATTTGTGAAATTTTTTATTTTTCGATTCTTAAATTTTTCTTTCGTTTTTTAATTTGGATATTTCAGTTTCGAGATTTTGCAATATTTTGATTTTTCAAGTTTTCGTATTTTTTATTTTTATATTTTTAAGTTTTTTTTGATGTTTTTTGATGTTTCGGTTTCTCAATCTTTCAATTTTTCGATTTCTTGATTTTGATGTTTCAATTTTCGATTTTTCAATTTTTATATTTATGGTTTATTTTTCGATTTTGACCTATTTTGATTTTTCAATTTTGCAATTTTTTGGTTTTTGTATTTCTCAAATTTTTAATTTTTCAACATTTCAATTTGTAAATTTTTCGTTCGTTTCTCAATTTTTCGATATTTCTGTTTTGGTATTTTGAAATAGTTCGATTTTTCAATTTTTCGTAGTTTTTGTTTCTCAATTATTCAGTTTTTTTGGTGTTTCGATTTCTCGATCTTTCAATTTTTCAATTTCACGGTTTTAGAATTTTCGATTTTTCTATTTTTCAATTTTTTATTTTTCGATTGTTCAATTTTTCGGTTTTTAGATTTTTTGATTTTTCAATTTTTCTAATTGTCTTTATTGAGATTTTGATGTTTCGATTTTTCGATGCTTTTTAAATGTCGATAAACTTTTCCATTTTGGAGTTTTTAACTCTTCGATTTTTCTATTTTGGCCTATTTTGATTTTTCAATTTTTTGATTTTTCGACTTCTCATTTCCATTTCTCGATTTTCCAATGTTTTAATGTCTCGTTTTGTCGATTTTTCAATTTTTGAACATTTCAATCATTTCATTTTTCGTCTTTTCGGCTTTTGAATCTTCCAATTTTTCGATTTTCGATTTTTCAATTATTCGATTTCCCAGTTTTTTGTCACTTCAGTTTTGGAATTTTCAAATACTCATTTTTCCAGTTCTTCGATTCTTCAAGTTTCGAATTTTTCAACTTTGGCGATTTTTAAATTTTGGTTTTTAGATTTTTTGATTTTTCAATTTTTCTAATTCTCTATTTATTGAAATTTTGATGTTTTTAACTATCCGATTTTTCTACTTTGGCCTATTTTGATTTTTCAGTTTTTTGATTTTTCGATTTCTCATTTCCATTTCTCGATTTTTCAATGTTTTAATATCTCGAGTTGTCAATTTTTCAATTTTTTTACATTTCAATGTTCCAATTTTTTTTTTTAATTTTCGGCTTTTGGATTTCTGAAGTTTTTAATTTTTCGATTCTTAAATTTTTCTTTCGTTTTTTAATTTTTGGATATTTCAGTTTCGAGATTTTGCAATATTTTGATTTTTATATTTTTAATTTTTTTTTGATGTTTCGGTTTCTCAATCTTTCAATTTTTCGATTTCTTGATTTTGATGTTTCGATTTTTCGATTTTTCAATTTATATACTTATGGTTTATTTTTCGATTTTTGCCTATTTGGATTTTTCAATTTTGCAATTTTTCGGTTTTTGTATTTCTCAAATTTTTTATTTTTCCACATTTCAATTTGTAGATGTTTTAGTTTTAGGATTTTTTAATCTTTCGAGTTTAAAATTTTTCTTTCGATTTTTTCATTTTTGGATATTTCAGTTTCGAGATTTTGCAATATTTTGATTTTTATATTTTTAATTTTTTTTGATGTTTCGGTTTCTCAATCTTTCAATTTTTCGATTTCTTGATTTTGATGTTTCGATTTTTCGATTTTTCAATTTATATACTTATGGTTTATATTTCAATTTTTGCCTACTTTGATTTTTCAATTTTGCAATTTTTCGGTTTTTGTATTACTCAAATTTTTAACTTTTCCACATTTCAATTTGTGTATGTTTTAGTTTTGGGATTTTTCAATTTTTCGATTCCCAAATTTTTCTTTCGTTTCTGAATTTTTCGATATTTCAATTTTGGGATTTTGCATTACTTCGATTTTTCAATTTTTCGTATTTTTTGTTTTCAAATTTTTCAGTTTTTTGTTGTTTCGATTTCTCGATCTTTCAATTTTTCAATTTCTCGGTTTTAGATTTTTTATTATATTATATTACATATTATATTATTTTTCGATTCTTAAATTTTTCTATCGTTTTTTAATTTTTGGATGTTTCAGTTTCGAGATTTTGCAATATTTTGATTTTTCAATTTTTCGTATTTTTGATTTTTATTTTTATAAGTTTTTTGATGTTTCGGTTTCTCAATCTTTCAGTTTTTCGATTTCTTGATTTTGATGTTTCGATTTTTCGATTTTTCAGTTTTTATATTTATGGTTTATTTTTCAATTTTGGTCTACTTTGATTTTTCAATTTTGTAATTTTTTGGGTTTTTGTATTTCTCAAATTTTTAATGTTTCCACATTTCAATTTGTGTATGTTTTAGTTTTGGGATTTTTCAATTTTTCGATTTCTAAATTTTTCTTTCGTTTCTCTATGTTTAGATATTTTAGTTTTGGGATTTTGCAATATTTCGATTTTTCAATTTTTCGTACTTTTTGTTTTTAAATTTTTCAGTTTCTTTATTGTTTCTATTTCTCGATCTTTCAGTTTTTCATTTTATCGGTTTTAGATTTTTTGGTTTTTCTATTTTTCAATTTTTTGTTCTTCGATTGTTCATTTTTTCGGTTTTTAGATTTTTTGATTTTTCAATTTTTCTAATTCTCTATTTATTGAGATTTGATGTTTCAATTTTTCGGCTTTTGAATCTTCCAATTTTTCGATTTTCGATTTTTCAATGATTCGATTTCCCAGTTTTTCGTCACTTCAGTTTTGGAATTTTCAAATACTCAATTTTTCAGTTCTTCGATTCTTCAATTTTCCGATGTTTCAACTTTCGCGATTTTTAAATTTTGGATTTTCGACTTCTGATCTCGCGGTTTATCGATTTTTTGACTTTTCAAATTTTCGATTTTTAAATTTTAGATGTTTTAGGTGTTTCTATTTCTCGATTTTTCAGTTTTTCCATTCCTTGATTTTTCTATAGTTTAATTTTCCAATTTTGAAAATTTTAGAATTCTTTTCTTTTTCGATTTTTCGAATTTTAAAATTTTTGGTTTTTCAGTTTTTCGATTTTTTATATTTAACATTGTTTGATTCTTCAAATTTTCGATTTCTCGATTTCTTCATCTTTCCATTCCTCAATTTTTCGAGATTTCAGTTTTGCGATTTTTTAGTGTTTCGACTCTCCAGTTTCTCGATTTTTACGTTTTTCAATTTTTCACTTATTCAATTAGTGACATTTTTAAATTTTCAATTTTTCGATTTCTCAATTTCTGGATTAATTGATTTTTGATTTTCCCATTTCTTGCGATTTTCAAGGTTTAAATTTTCAATTTTTTTAATTCTCAGCTAGTACCTGCTAAAATAAAACCGATTTTGACAAATTTTTGAGGCGATTACCAACTATCAAGTTTTTTGTACCCTGTAAACTACAAATTCTAAAAAACGCTATCATATTTCTCAAACCTCGAATTTTGTTTTTAATCGATATTTAAGTTTCAAAAAGTTTAATCATGTAGATTACCACAGAAATTGAAAATTCCCAAATTACAATTTTTTTATGGGACTGAACAGACAAATTTTGGTTGGATTTTCATTATTTACAGGATAATCTTAAAGTCCACCTAAAATTTTGTCTAAATCTAGCCATTAGTACTTGCTAAGATAAGAATGATTTTGGCAAATGAAATACCTTCTAAGAAAAGCGAGGGCGGGTGGGCGGGGCTAGTACCTGCTAAAATAAGATCGATTTTGGCAAATTTTTAAGGCAATTAAATACCAACAAGTTTTTTCTACCCTGTAAACTACAAATTCTAAAAAACGCTATCATATTTCCCAAACCTTGAATTTTGTTTTTAATCGATATTTAAGTTTCAAAAAGTTTAATCATGTAGATTACCACAGAAATTGAAAATTCTCAAATTACAATTTTTTTATGGGACTGAACAGACAAATTTTGGTTGGATTTTCATTATTTACAGGATAATCTTAAAGTCCACCTAAAATTTTGTCTAAATCTAGCCATTAGTACTGCTAAGATAATACTGAATTTGGGCAAATGAAATACCTTCTAAGAAAAGCGAGGGCGGGTGGGCGGGGCTAGTATCTGCTAAAATAAGACCGATTTTGGCAAATTTTTAAGGTAATTACCTACCAACAAGTTTTTTCTACCCTGTAAATTACAAATTCTAAAAAACGATTTCTGAAATTTTTAATTTTTCGATTCTTAAATTTATCTTTCGTCTTTTAATTTTTGGATATTTCATTATTTGCAATATTTTGATTTTTAAATTTTTCGTATTTTTTATTTTTATATATTTAAATTTTTTTGATGTTTCGGTTTCTCAATCTTTCAATTTTGGATTTCTTGATTTTGATGTTTCGATTTTTCGAGTTTTCAGTTTTTATATTCATGGTTTATTTTTCGATTTTGGCCTGTTTTGATTTTTCAATTTTGCAGTTTTTGGATTTTTGTATTCCTCAAATTTTTAATTTTTCCACATTTCAATTTGTAGATGTTTTAGTTTTGGGATTTTTCAATTTTTCGATTTCTAAATTTTTCTTTCGTTTCTCAATTTTTTCATATATCAGTTTTAGGATTTTGCAATATTTCGATTTTTCGTATTTTTTGTTTTTAAATTTTTCAGTCTTTTTGTTGTTTCGATTTCTCGATGTTTCAATTTTTCAATTTCTCGGTTTTAGATTTTTCGGTTTTTGTATTTTTCAATTTTTTATTTTTCGATTGTTCAATTTTTCGGTTTTTAGATTTATTGAATTTTCAATTTTTCTAATTCTCTGTTTATTGAGATTTTGATGTTTCGATTTTTCGATGCTTTTTAAATGTCGACAAACTTTTCGATTTTTGAGTTTTTAACTATTCGATTTTTCTACTTTGGCCTATTTTGATTTTTCGACTTCTCACTTCCATTTCTCGATTTTTCAATGTTTTAATATCTCGAGTGTCGATTTTTCAGTTTTTGAACATTTCAATGTCTCAATTTTTCGACTTTTCGGCTTTTGAATTTTCCAATTTTTCGATTTTCGATATTTCAATGATTCGATTTCCTAGTTTTCCGTCACTTCAGTTTTGGAATTTTCAAATACCCATTTTTTCAGTTCTTCTATTCTTCAATTTTCCAATTTTTCAACTTTCGCGATTTTTAAATTTTGGATTTTTCAACTTTTCGATTTTTTATATTTAACATTTTTCAATTCTTCTAATTTTTGGTTTCTCGATTTCGTCATGTTTCCATTCCTCAATTTTTCGAGATTTCAGTTTTTTGATTTTTACGATTTTCAGTTTTTCAATTACTTGGTGACATTTTTAAATTTTCAATTTTTCGATTTCTCAATTTCTGGATTAATTGATTTTTGATTTTCCCAATTTTCGGTTTTTCGATTCTACAATGTTCGAATTTTCAATTTTTCAGTTTTTCGCATTTTCAGTTTTTCGATTTTCAAGGTTAATTTTTCAATTTTTAGATGTTTTAGTTTGGGGAATTTTCAATTTTTCGATTCTTAAATTTTTCTTTCGTTTTTAATTTTTCGATATTTCAGTGGCGACGAATTTAAAACTTATGAAGGATCACATATGTATTTGCTTCGTCGGTGTATATCTGGTTGCCTATATCTCCAAGTTTTGTAAAAATGGAATGAACCTATTTATTTTAGTTACATTATAGCGAACTATTTCTTTCAATATCATTTAAGGCTTCAGATCTAAATTTGCGCGTAATTAGGGCAAAATTCGTATTTGTATACAAATTGTACGCTTCCGACCCCTCCCCAACCCACACCGCCGCTGTCAAAACTCTGCCAAACTGTCAAAAGTGAGGTTAACCAACTGTCAGTTGCCACAGTCACTCCTAAAAATGTTTTCTCTCGCAAACCCCCGCAGCTGCCCAGTCTGACCCGAAAACCGCCCCACCCGCCCCAAAATATGTGAATGCACCCCCAAGATGTCGCAAAGCACAACCAGCGGAACCTCCTCGCGGCGTCACCACGGCCGAGATCACGACACAGCCTCCATCACATCCTCCAGAATCGCGGACATCACCGAGTGGGAAGCAAATGAGGTAAACCACTTTTTCCGCAGCACCATGTACGCAGAACGCGAAGAAACCGAATTCCTGGAAATCTTGCAGGCCCTGCGGCAGCGCGAGCTGGAGGAGGCCCGGGGGCGGGCCGCCCAGATGGAGAAGACGATGAGGTGGTGGTCGGACTGCACGGCCAACTGGCGGGAGAAGTGGAGCAAGGTCCGGAACGAGAGGAACAAGGCCCGGGAGGAGTGCAAGCAGCTGCGGACCAAGCTGGACTCGACGGCCAAAGACAGCGCCACGTACAAGCGCGAGAAGGAGGAGCTGGAGGTGCAGAACGACCAGTTGAAGAAGGAGATCGAGAAGATTCATCTGCTGCTGCTGAAGCATGCCGGGCAGTTTGATAGTCAGATTTTTGAGGCGCTGGGGGAGGACCCCCTCAAGGATTTCGCTTTCAGGTACTGTGAGTGGCACTAACACCTATTTCGTGGTTAGAATCTTTAATAGGAATTAATTGATTCATTGTGGTAGAACAAAAAAAATTGTTCTTGATTTAAATGTTACTCTATGACATAAACAATGGAATGTTTAAACAGTAAATATTAACAAAAAATAACCCAATGTTTATAGCAATTAAAGGATAATAACAGTGTACAGATTCTTTTTCTAAACTTATAAAATATAATATACATATAAATTCAGGAGTTATTGACTGGGTGCGTCACTAAGTGGCTTAAATGTGCACTGTGCTTGAATATTATGTGGTCAACTAAATTCCGTTTACCGAACATATGGAGTTATAAAATTGCGTGATGTCGGCAGATGATGCTGCTAATATAAAATTTTAATAATTTTCGAAATATTCGGTGCGAAAGTATGTTTTTTTTTTAATTTAAAAATTTCGATATTTCAACGGTTGCAGGTATCAAAGAAAGAAAGCCGGAAGTGAGTTTCAGAGCTCGAAATCTACAAGAAAAATTGGACAACCAAAAAATCGAAAATTAAAGAACTCAAAAATCGGAAAATCTGAAATTTAAAAAATGGAAAAATTAAAATTTCGAACAATTGAAGACTCGAAAGTTGTAATGAAATATCGAGAAATCGAAAAAATCAAATTCGTAATGTCTAAAAGTCGAAAAATCGAAAATTTCAAAAATCGAATAATTGAAAAACCAAAAATCTGATAAATCGAAAAGTTTGAACATTGGGAAATCGAAAAATTGAAAGATTGAAAAATCGAGAAATCGAAACAAAAAATCAAAATAAAATTTAAAAAATCGAAAAATTGAAAAATTAAAAAATCATGAAATATCGAAAAATTGAAAAATCAATAAATCGAAAACTTTAAAATTACCAAAACCAAAAGACTGAAAAATTGAGAAATTTAGAAATCGAAAAATTGAAAAATTGGAAAACCAAAAAATTGAAAAATTAAAGAACTCAAAAATCGGAAAATCTGATATTTAAAAAATGGAAAAATTAAAATTTCGAACAATTGAAGACCGTCGTAATGAAAAATAGAAAAATCGAAAAATCAAAGAAATTACATTCGAAAAATCTTTAATTTATTAAAAATCGAAATATTGGAAAATCTCAAAACTGAAACATCGAAAAATGAAAAAACGAGAAATTTAAAAGTCGAAAATCTGATTAGTCGAAAAATTTTAACATTGGAAAATCGAAAAATTGAATGATTGAAAAATTGTAAAATAAAGAAATCTAAAATTTAATGAATCGAAAAATTAAAATATCGAATAATTGAAGAATCGAAAGTCGTAGTGAAAAGTAGAGAAATCGAAAAATCAAAAATCTGATACTTCGAAAAATTTAAACATTGGAAATTCGAAAAATTTAAGAATTCAAAAATCGGAAAATCTGAAATTTAAAAAATGGAAAAATTAAAATTTCGAAAAACTGAAGACTCGAAAGTTGTAATGAAAAATCGAGAAATCGAAAAAATCGAAAAAATTAAATTCGTAAAATCTAAAATTAAAAAAATCTCAAAACTGATACATCGCAAAATGAAATGGAAAATCGAGAAGTCTAAAAGTCGAAAAATCGAAAATTTCAAAAATCGAATAATTGAAAAAGCAAAAATCTGATAAATCGAAAAATTTTAACATTGGGAAATCGAAAAATTGAAAGATTGAAAAATCGAGAAATCGAAACAAAAAATCAAAATAAAATTTAAAAAATCGAAATATTGAAAAATTAAACAATCATGAAATATCGAAAAATTGAAAAATCAATAAATCGAAAAATTGAAAAATTGGAAAACCAAAAAATTGAAAAATTAAAGAACTCAAAAATCGGAAAATTTGAAATTTAAAAAATGGAAAAATTAAAATTTCGAACAATTGAAGACTCGAAAGTCGTAATGAAAAATAGAAAAATCGAAAAATTAAAGAAATTACATTCAAAAAATTTTTAATTTATAAAAAATCGAAATATTGGAAAATCTCAAAACTGAAACATCGAAAAATGGAAAATCGAAAAATTGAAGGATTGAAAAATTGTAAAATAAAGAAATCTAAAACTTAATAAATCGAAAAATTGAAATATCGAATAATTGTAGAATCGAAAGTCGTAGTGAAAAATAGAGAAATCGAAAAATAAAAAAAATTAAATTCGAAAAATCGAAAATTTAAAAAATTGAATAATCGAAAATCAAAAATCTGATACTTCGAAAAATTTAAACATTGAAAATTCGAAAAATTTAAGAATTCAAAAATCGGAAAATCTGAAATTTAAAAAATGGAAAAATTAAAATTTCGAAAAACTGAAGACTCGAAAGTTGTAATGAAAAATCGAGAAATCGAAAAAATCAAATTCGTAAAGTCTAAAAGTCGAAAAATCGAAAATTTCAAAAATCGGAAAATTTGAAATTTAAAAAATGGAAAAATTAAAATTTCGAACAATTGAAGACTCGAAAGTCGTAATGAAAAATAGAAAAAACGAAAAATCAAAGAAATTACATTCGAAAAATCTTTAATTTATAAAAAATCGAAATATTGGAAAATCTCAAAACTGAAACATCGAAAAATGGAAAATCGAGAAATTTAAGTCGAAAATCTGATAAATCGAAAAATTTTAGAAAATCTAAAAATAGTAAGATTTATATTTTTGATGTTTTTTTCTCTGAATACTTTTGTTTATGTTATTTGTTTCCACTATAGACTAATTGTCTGTTGGAATAAAGTTCTATTTATTTATTTATTTATTTATTTATTTAAAAATTAAAATATCGAATAATTGAAGAATTGAAAGTCGTAGTGAAAAATAGAGAAATCGAAAAATCAAAAAAATTAAATTCGAAAAATCGAAAATTTAAAAAGTTGAATATTCGAAAATCAAAAATCTGATACATCGAAAAATTTAAACATTGGAAAATGGAAAAATTAAAGGATTGAAAAATTGAAAAGTCAAGAAATCTAAAATTTAATAAATCGAAAAATTGAAAAATATATAAATCGCAAACATGAAAATTCCCAAAACTCAAAGTTGATTGGAAAATTTAAAAATTTAGAAATCGAAAAATTGAAACATCAAACCTGATTAATCGAAAAATTGAAAAATTAAAGAACTCAAAAATCGGGAAATCTAAAATTTAAAAAATGGAAAAATTGAAGACTCGAAAGTCGTAGTGAAAAATAGAGAAATCGAAAAATCAAAAAAATTAAATTCGAAAAATCTAAAATTTAAAAAATCAAAATTTTGAAAAATCTCAAAAATAGAAACATCGCAAAAAGGAAAATCGAGAAGTCTAAAAGTCGAAAAATCGAAAAATTTAAACAATGGTAAATCGAAAAATTGAAGTGTTGAAAAATTTGAAAAATCAAGAAATCTTAAAATATAATAATTCGAAAAATTAAAATAATCAAACATTGAAGAATCGAAAGATTGAAAAATCGAGACATCGAAACTACAAAAAAATCTAAATAAAATTTAAAAAATCCAAATATGTATTGAAAAATTCAAAAACTGAAATATCGAAAAATTGAAAAATCTGAAACCTGATTAATCGAAAAATTGAAAAATTAAAGAACTCAAAAATCAGGAAATCTGAAATTGAAATAATGTAAAAGTTAAAATTTCAAAAAATTGAAGACTGGAAAGTTGTAATAAAAATCGGGAAATCGCAACAGCGAAAAATCCAAAAAATTAAATTCGAAAAATATAAAATTAAAAAAATTGAAATATGGAAAAATCCCAAAACTGGAACATTGAAAACTAGCAAATCGAGAAGTCTAAGGAAAAATCGAATAATCGAAAATCAAAAATCTGATACATCGAAAAATTTAAACATTGGAAAATCGAAAAATTGAAGGATTGAAAAATTTAAAACTCAAGAAATCTAAAATTTAATAAATCGAAATATTGAAAAATTCAAAAACTGAAATATCGAAAAATTGAAAAATCTATAAATCGCAAACATTAAAATTCCCAAAACTGAAAGTTGATTGGAAAATTTAAAAATTTAGAAATCGAAAAATTTAAAAATCAAACCTGACTAAACGAAAAATTAAAAAATTAAAGAACTCAAAAATCGGGAAATCTAAAATTTAAAAAATGGAAAAACTGAAGACTCGAAAGAAATAGAGAAATCGAAAAATCCAAAAAATTAAATTCGAAAAATCTAAAATTTAAAAAAAATCGAAATATCGAAAAATCTCAAAAGTAGAAACATCGCAAAATGGAAAATCGAAAAGTCTAGAAGTCAAAAAATCGAAAATTAAAAAATTGGGCAATTGAAAAATCAAAAATCTGATAAATCGAAAAATTTAAACAATGGTAAATCACAAAATAGAAGGATTGAAAAATTGAAAAATCAGGAAATCTTAAAATTCAATAAATCGAAAAATTAAAATAATCAAACATTGAAGAATCGAAAGATTGAAGAATCGAGAAATCGAAACCACAAAAAATCTAAATAAAATTTAAAAAATCGAAATATGTATTGAACAATTCAAAAACTGTGAAATATCGAAAAATTGCAAAATTAAAGAACTCAAAAATCAGGAAATTTAAAAAATGTAAAAATTAAAATTTCGAAAAATTGAAGACTTGAAAGTTGTAATGAAAAATCGGAAAATCGCAACAGCGAAAAATCCAAAAACTTAAATTCGAAAAATATGAAATATGGAAAAATCCCAAAAAATGGAAAATCGAGAAGTCTAAGAAAAAATCGGAAATTTAAAAAATCGAATAATTCAAAAATCAAAAACCTGATAAATCGAGAAATTTGAACATTGGAAAATCGAAAAATTGAACTGAAAAATCGAGAAATCAAAAATTTTAAAAATCCCGAAATCTAAAATTTAAAAAATCGAAAAATTGAAGAATCGAAAGATTGAAAAATCGTGTAACCGAAACATCGAAAAATTGAGAAATTTAAAATCAAAAAATCGAAAACTTAAAAAATCTAAATATGTACTGAAAAATCCCAAAACTAAATATCGAAAAATCGATTAATTGAGAAATCGAAAACTTAAAACAAAAATTGACAAAAAGGAAAAATTGAAGAATCAAAAAATTGAAAAATTGAGAAAGATTTCAAAGCATTAAATTTTGCAATTCGAAAATTAAATTGTAAAATTTTGTTGTACAATTTTGATTTCATTTTTCCAAAAATGTGGATGCTGAGGGTGAAATGCAACACCGATTTATAAATCACAAGTATTGAAAAATTTACGATTATAATGTGTAACAAGTGTCACTAATAAATTTAAAATTCATCGGAATCGCCCCGCTCACCCACCTGTTTTCTCATTGTTTCTTCTAAAGTTAGAAATAAATATTAAAGTAGATAGTACAACAAAAAAAAAATACGGTTAGTCTTTTTTCCCACTGTCACTCTACAGAAAAACATATTTAACTCCGCCCAACCACCCCGCCTCTATTTCAGTGATTCATTTTATCTGGTCTGTTAGAAAATGGATCCCATACTGAACAGAGGAAAAATTATTCCTTAGAATAAAAAGAGCGTCGGTGGGTGGGCGGGGCTAGTACTTGCTAAGATAAGACTGAGTTTCGCAAATTACATACCCTCCAAGAAAACGGAGGGCGGGTGGGCGGGACTAGCACCTGTTAAGATTATGACAGATTTTGGCAGATGACATACCCTCTAAGAAAATAAAGGGTGGGTGGGCGGGGCTAGTACTTACTAAGATAAAACTGAACCATATTAAGAATAGTCACTAGAATGGAGAGGAGGCGCAGATAGTCGGGGCTATTGTTTACAGGAAAAAAATCAAACAGAACTCCGCCCACCCACCCGTTCTCTCATTTTTTTCTGCTAAAATTAGAAATAAATCTTAAAGTAAATAATATAACAAAAATAAATACGGTTAGCCTTCCATTTCAGTGATTCATTTTATCTGGTCTGCTATTAAGTGGATCCCATAATGAACAGAGGTAAAATTAGTCTTTAGAATAAAATGAGCGTGGGTGGGTGGGCGGGGCTAGTACTTGCTAAGATAAGACTGATTTTGGCAAATGATGTCTCCTGTAAGAAAACAGAGGGCGGGTGGGCGGGGCTAGTACTTACTAAGATAAGACTGAGTTTGGCATCATATGTTGCACATTTTGGGTAGAATTGGTATTTATTCGGCCAAATTTTGAGCTGACGTTATTAATTTTTTGGAGCGGATAAGCAGATATATTTTCATTAAAAATTTAATTTTGGTTAGCGTTTTACCATCTATATGATATCCCTAATATAAATACAAAATTTGACAACAATCGGCCTAGTACTTTCGGAGATTATCTGTCTAATAAAAATCAATGACGGCAGACAGACAGACAAACGGACAGACAGATAAACTGAAAAGGGAGATCTATTTCTTCGTACTCTAGAGGTCATAAAACGTCGAGAAGTATCAATTCGCCGGATGGACTGCATTACGATACTCTTTAGGAGATTATTACGATAGTTAATTAGGAAGGTGCAAAAATATTTGTTTTTCTAGTCAGAGCAATGGATCTCCGGCGCGAGACCGCGAAAACGGAGCCCCCCACCAACTCGAATGCGAAACCGCCCTCCAAGAAGGCTGCATCGAGGACTACATCCTCCAGGGGGCCGTCCCTAGGTACGTCACAGAACTAAAAGACTCCCTGGAGGAAAAAACGGACAGTGAACTGTTAAACGGGGTGCAAAAAAGTGAGAAAAGTAGCACTCATCGGGACGATTTCGATGAGGACTACGTCATCCAGAAGCTATCAATGCTTCAACTCAGGCTGGAGGAGGCGACGAAGACGCTCCAGGTCGAGAGAGAGTAGGTTTCGACTTTCGTGTCTTCGTGATTTAAATTGTATTTTTTTTTTTTGTAGAGAAAAGAGTCAGTTGCATAGGGTTATTGATAAGTTAACAGTTGAGTTGCAAGAAGTCAAGGACAAGTGCGATGAGTTGAGGGAGGCGCGGCAGGAGGCGGCGCGGGACTTGCTGTCGTTGCAGGATCAGCACCAGGAAGAAATCCGGTTGATCCGGGCGGACTTGCAGGACGAGGCGAACTCGAGGGAGGGAATGGATAAAAGACTCAACGATCTCAGAGCCGAGGTACTTTTTTTACAATTTTGGTGGGTCTTAAACCACAAAATTGTTGATTGTAGCTTGAACGGCTGCAAGCCGAAAACGCCGCTGAATGGGGCAAACGCGAGCGCCTAGAAACCGAAAAACTGGCCCTAGAAAGGGACAACAAGAAGCTGCGATCTGAGCTCAGGGACATGCAAGAGCGAATGGAGCGAAAAGGGCGCCCTCTGTCGAATTCGGACGCGGAAGTGCGCCACCTGCAGCAAGAACTCTCAGACAAAAATAAAGTAAGCCGTTTTAGTACCACCATTGTTTAAGTAGATTATAGTTGGACAACCTATAGGGAGAATCATTTTCCCTTGTAGAAAAGAATGAACCTATATTTTACATCTCACTCGCTTCACTATGAAGTGGCGGTACCTTACGAAAGGGGGTAAAGATAGTCTGCAAGCACGTGATGTCGATAAGGTAGTTAGTAAAAAAATAAAAATTGGAAAATGTAAAATTTAAAAATCGAGAAATTGAACAATCGGTTAATTGAAAAATCGAAAAATCTAAAAATTAAAAAAGTTAAAATTGAGAAATCAAAGCATAAAACAGTTAAAACATCAAATACTAAAAAATCCCAAAACTCAAATATCGAAAAATTGAACGAAATATCCAAAAATTAGAAAATTAAAAAATTGAGAAACCGAAAAGTGAAAAAAGCAGAGTCGAAAAATCGCAAACTTAAAAAATCGAAAAATTGAAGCACTGGAGAAATAGGAATATAAAAAAATGGATTAATTGAGAAATTCGAAAATTCAGAAACGTCAAAATTTAAAAATTAAAAAAAAATTGAAGAACTGAAAAATTTCAGAATAGTTAAAGTATTTTTGAGACTTTGTCAACCCAATATTTGGAAAATCTTCAGTTATTTGAATTCCATATCCTAGAATTTTCTGTCAATTTTTTGACAACTTTCCAAAAACTTAATTTTTTGATACGCCCAAGTTAAGAAATTTTCGACCTCTCATCAACCATTTTCAAAAATTACCTACGGAAATTTTTTTAGTAGATTTCTACCTCCGGAAGATATTATTTTCCATTTCATTTCACTGAAAATCCCGCCATTTTCCAGAATTTTCAGCAAAAATGTAGCAACTTTATGATTTGCAAAAATTGTATTTCAAACCGAATATTTCAAAATTTTTCATATCACGTCGCAGTTTTAAACAACTTTACCAAAAGCTCAATTTTTCAATGTATGCAATTTTTTGCATTTTTCCGAGCAGTTTTGAAAATTAAAGAGATATTTGAGTTGATTTCAATTTGCAGAAATTTTCAGAATAGTAAAAATATGACAATTTTTGAGATTTTGTAAACCGAATATTTGGAAAATCTTCAGTTATTTGAATTCCATATCCTAGAATTTTCTGTCAATTTTTTGACAACTTTCCAAAAACTTAATTTTTTAAGTTAAGAAATTTTCGACCTCTCATCAACCATTTTCAAAAATTACCTACGGAAATTTTTTTAGTAGATTTCTACCTCCGGAAGATATTATTTTCGATTTCATTTCACTGAAAATCCCGCCATTTTCCAGAATTTTCACCAAAAATGTAGCAGCTTTATGATTTGCAAAAATTGCATTTCAAACCGAATATTTCAAAATTTTTCGTATCACGTCGCAGTTTTAAACAACTTTACCAAAAGCTCAATTTTTCAATTTATGCAATTTTTTGCATTTTTCCGAGCAGTTTTGAAAATTAAAGAGATATTTGAGTTGATTTCCATTTGCAGAAATTTTCAGAATAGTAAAAATATGACAATTTTTGAGATTTTGTAAACCGAATATTTGGAAAATCTTCAGTTATTTGAATTCCATATCCTAGAATTTTCTGTCAATTTGGAAAATCTTCAGTTATTTGAATTCCATATCCTAGAATTTTCTGTCAATTTTTTGATACGCCCAAGTTAAGAAATTTTCGACCTCTCATCAACCATTTTCAAAAATTACCTACGGAAATTTTTTTAGTAGATTTCTACCTCCGGAAATTATTATTTTCGATTTCATTTCACTGAAAATCCCGCCATTTTCCAGAATTTTCGGCAAAAATGTAGCAACTTTATGATTTGCAAAAATTGTATTTCAAACCGAATATTTCAAAATTTTTCGTATCACGTCGCAGTTTTAAACAACTTTACCAAAAGCTCAATTTTTCAATTTATGCAATTTTTTGCATTTTTCCGAGCAGTTTTGAAAATTAAAGAGATATTTGAGTTGATTTCAATTTGCAGAAATTTTCAGAATAGTAAAAATATGACAGTTTTTGAGATTTTGTAAACCGAATATTTGGAAAATCTTCAGTTATTTGAATTCCATATCCCAGAATTTTCTGTCAATTTTTTGACAACTTTCCAAAAACTTAATTTTTTGATACGCCCAAGTTAAGAAATTTTCGACCTCTCATCAACCATTTTCAAAAATTGCCTACGGAAATTTTTTTAGTAGATTTCTACCTCCGGAAGATATTATTTTCGATTTCATTTCACTGAAAATCCCGCCATTTTCCAGAATTTTCAGCAAAAATGTAGCAACTTTATGATTTGCAAAAATTGTATTTCAAACCGAATATTTCAAAATTTTTCGTATCACGTCGCAGTTTTAAACAACTACCAAAAGCTCAATTTTTCAATTTATGCAATTTTTTGCATTTTTCCGAGCAGTTTTGAAAATTAAAGAGATATTTGAGTTGATTTCCATTTGCAGAAATTTTCAGAATAGTAAAAATATGACAGTTTTTGAGATTTTGTAAACCGAATATTTGGAAAATCTTCAGTTATTTGAATTCCATATCCCAGAATTTTCTGTCAATTTTTTGACAACTTTCCAAAAACTTAATTTTTTGATACGCCCAAGTTAAGAAATTTTCGACCTCTCATCAACCATTTTCAAAAATTACCTACGGAAATTTTTTTAGTAGATTTCTACCTCCGGAAGATATTATTTTCGATTTCATTTCACTGAAAATCCCGCCATTTTCCAGAATTTTCAGCAAAAATGTAGCAACTTTATGATTTGCAAAAATTGTATTTCAAACCGAATATTTCAAAATTTTTCGTATCACGTCGCAGTTTTAAACAACTTTACCAAAAGCTCAATTTTTCAATGTATGCAATTTTTTGCATTTTTCCGAGCAGTTTTGAAAATTAAAGAGATATTTGAGTTGATTTCAATTTGCAGAAATTTTCAGAATAGTAAAAATATGACAATTTTTGAGATTTTGTAAACCGAATATTTGGAAAATCTTCAGTTATTTGAATTCCATATCCTAGAATTTTCTGTCAATTTTTTGACAACTTTCCAAAAACTTAATTTTTTGATACGCCCAAGTTAAGAAATTTTCGACCTCTCATCAACCATTTTCAAAAATTACCTACGGAAATTTTTTTAGTAGATTTCTACCTCCGGAAGATATTATTTTCGATTTCATTTCACTGAAAATCCCGCCATTTTCCAGAATTTTCGGCAAAAATGTAGCAACTTTATGATTTGCAAAAATTGTATTTCAAACCGAATATTTCAAAATTTTTCGTATCACGTCGCAGTTTTAAACAACTTTACCAAAAGCTCAATTTTTCAACTTTCCAAAAACTTAATTTTTTGATACGCCCAAGTTAAGAAATTTTCGACCTCTCATCAACCATTTTCAAAAATTACCTACGGAAATTTTTTTAGTAGATTTCTACCTCCGGAAGATATTATTTTCGATTTCATTTCACCGAAAATCCCGCCATTTTCCAGAATTTTCAGCAAAAATGTAGCAACTTTATGATTTGCAAAAATTGTATTTCAAACCGAATATTTCAAAATTTTTCGTATCACGTCGCAGTTTTAAACAACTTTACCAAAAGCTCAATTTTTCAATTTATGCAATTTTTTGCATTTTTCCGAGCAGTTTTGAAAATTAAAGAGATATTTGCAGAAATTTTCAGAATAGTAAAAATATGACAATTTTTGAGATTTTGTAAACCGAATATTTGGAAAATCTTCAGCTATTCGAATTCCATATCCTAGAATTTTCTCTCAGATTTTTGGCAACTTTCCAAAAACTTAATTTTTTGATACGCCCAAGTTAAGAAATTTTCGATCTTTCATCAACCATTTTCAAAAATTACCTACAGAGATTTTTTTGTCGATTTCGACCTCCGGAAGTTATTTTCGACATTTCTTTGAAAATCCCCATATTTTCCAGAATTTTCGGTATAAATATACAAATTTTATGATTCCAAACCGAATATTTCGAAAATCTTGCTCCGGGGCCATAGATACGCCATATTTTTCGAATTAACACGAGATCTGTTAGATTTTTGTGTGAATTTTTTGTTAACTTTTCCAAAAGCTCAATTTTTGAATATGAAATTTTCGACATTTTTTGGACCACATGCAAAGAGATTTCGGGTTCATTTTTTCGAAAATTTCCACCATTTTTAAAATTGTTGTTGAATCGAATATTTCGTAATTTTCCTCTGGGGCTATAAACAGGCTATATTTTTCGAATCACGAATAAATCAGAATTTTTTGTGGAATTTTAGATAAACTTTTCAAAAGCTCAAAAGCGCTTCATAAAATTTTCTACATTTTTCCGAGCATCTTACTGAAAGAGGTTTTTTTTTCCAATTTTGTCCTCTAGAATTTGCTTGTAAAAATAGTACTCAAAATTTCTCAACTTCGGAATATTTAAAAATGATTGAAAAGTTAAAATATCGTAAAATTGAACAATGAAGAAATCCAAACATCAAAAAATAAAAAATTAGAAATCGGACAATTCAAAAATCGAAACAACGAGAAATCGAAAAATCAAAAATCGAGGAGTCGAAAAGTCGAGACGTCGAAAAATTGAAAAATTGAGAAACCGAAATTGGCCAAAATCGAAAATTTAAAAATTCGGAAAATTGAAAAATTAAAATATAGACCTGGAAACTCGAGAAATCGAAAAATCTAGAAATTTAAAAACTGAAAAATTAAAATATGGAAAAGTTGAAAAATTGAGAAATTGAAATATAAAACAATGGAAAATTTGAAAAATCGCAAGTTTAAAAAAAGAAAAACTGAAAATCAAAAATAACAAATCGACAAATCTAGAAGTCGAAGAATCGAAATATTAAAAAATCTCAAAACTGAAAGAAATATTCAAAAATTGGAAAGTAAAAAACCTGAATAATCGAAAAATTGAAGTACTGAAGAACTGAAAAATCGAAACATTAGAAACTGGAGAAATGGGAATATAAAAAAATAGATTAGTTGAGAAATTCGAAAACTGAAAAATTGAAAAGTTAAAATATCGTAAAATTGAACAATAAAGAAATCCAAGCATTAAAAAATCAAAAATAAAAAATCGAAAAACTGAAAAATTAACGAATCGAGAAATCGAAATTCGAAAATCTAAAAAGTTGAAATATTGAAAAATCGGATAATTCAAAAATCGAAACATCATAAACTTCAAAAACTGAGACATCGAGAAATCGAAAAATCAAAAGACCAAAAATCGAGGAGTCGAAAAGTCGAGAAGTCGAAAAATCGAAAAGTTAAAACTGGAAAAATTGAGAAATCGGAAGATTGAACAATCAAAACATCGGCATAAATCGAGATCTCAAAAAATTGAAAAATCGAAAATTTAAAAATTCTGAAAATTGAAAAATTAAAATATAGACCTGGAAACTCGAGAAATCGAAAAATCTAGAAATTTAAAAACTGAAAGATGAAAATATGGAAAAATTGAAAAATTGTGATATTGAAATATGAAACAATCGAAAATTTGAAAAATCTAAAGTTTAAAAAAAGAAAAACTGAAAATCCAAAAATAAAAAATCGAAAAATCTAGAAGTCGAAGAATCGAAATATTAAAAAATCTCAAAACTGAAAGAAATATCCAAAAATTGAAAAATAAAAAACCTGAATAATCGAAAAATTGAAGAACTGAGAAATCGAAACTTTGTAAACTGGAGAAATGGGAATCTAAAAAATTGGTTAATTGAGAAATTCGAAAACTGAAAATTCAGAAACGTCAAAATTTAAAAATTAAAAAATATTGAAGAACTGAAAAATTGATAAAGTTAAAGTACCGCAAAATTGAAAAGTTAAAGTACCGTAAAATTGAACAATGAAGAAATCCAAACATTAAAAAATCAAAAATTAAAAATCGAAAAACTGAAAAATCAACGAATCGAGAAATCGAAATTCGAAAATTTAAAAAGTTGGAAAGTTCAAAAATCGAAACATCGTAAACTTCAAAAACTGAGACATCGAGAAATCGAAAAATGAAAAGACCAATAATCGAGGAGTCGAAAAGTCGAGAAATCGAAAAATTGAGAAACCGAAATAGGCCAAAATCCAAAAATTGAAAAGTTAAAAGTGGAAAAATTGAGAAATCAAGAAATTGAACAATCAAAACATCGAAACATCCAAATAAATCGAGATCTCAAAAAATTGAAAAATCGAAAATTTAAAAATTCTGAAAATTGAAAAATTAAAATATAGACCTGGAAACTCGAGAAATCGAAAAATCTAGAAATTTAAAAACTGAAATATTAAAATATGGAAAAGTTGAATTGAGAATTTGAAATATAAGTCAATCGAAAAATTGAAAAATCGCAAGTTCAAAAAAAGAAAAACCGAAAATCCAAAAATAAAAAATCGAAAAATCTAGAAGTCGAAGAATCGATATATTGAAAAATCACAAAACTGAAAGAAATCCAAAAATTGAGAAATGGAAAAACCAATAAAGCGAAGTCGAAAAATCCAAGATTTGAAGAACTCAAAAATAGAAACTTTGAGAAGTGAGAAAAATCTAAAATTTAAAACATTGAACAATTAAAATATCGCAAAATTGAAGCATCGAGAAATCCAATTAAATTTAAAAAATTGAAAAATCGGATAACTAAAAAATCGAAACATTGAAAAATTGGAAAATCGAAATTTTGAAAAGTGGGAAAATCAAAAATAGATTAATTGAGAAATCGGAAAACTGAAAATTTAACAAAGTCAAAATTTGAAAAATTGAAAAATAGAAATACTGAAGAACTGAATATTCAACAAATCGAGAAATTGAAAAATCTAAAATTTAAAACATTAACAATCAAAAAATCGCAAAATTGAAGCATCAAGAGATCCAATTAAATTTAAAAAATTGAAAAATCGGATAACAAAAAAATCGAAACATTGAAAAATTGGAAAATCGAGAAATTGAAAAGCTCAAAAGAAAAAATCGAAAAACCGAGAAATTCAAAAATCGAAACATCGAAAAATCCAAAAACTGAGACATCGAGAAAACGAAAGATTAAAGGATCGAGAAATTGAGAAGTCGGAAGTCAAAAAGCAATTGAAAAATTGATAAATCGAGAAATTGAACAATTTAAACAATGAAACATCTGAATTCGATAAATTGGGAAATCAAAAAATTGAATAATCGACAAATCTAGAAGTCGAAGAATCGAAATATTGAAAAATCTCAAAACTGAAAGAAATATTCAAAAATTGAAAAATTGAAACTTGGAGAAGTGGGAAAATCAAAAATAGTTTAATTGAGAAATCGGAAAACTGAAAATTTAACAAAGTCAAAATTTGAAAAATTGAAGAATAGCAATACTGAAGAACTGAAAATTCAAAAATTCGAAAAAATGGAAAAATCTAAAATTTAAATCATTGAACAATTAAAATATCTCAAAATTGAAGCATCGAGAAACAAATTAAATTTAAAAAATTGAAAAATCGTATAACTAAAAAATCGAAACATTGAAAAATTGGAAAATCGAGAATTTGAAAAGCCCAAAAGTAAAAAATCGAAAAACCGAGAAATCCAAAAATCGAAACATCGAAAAATTCAAAAACTGAGACATCGAAAAATCGGAGGATCGAGAAATTGAGAAGTCGGAAGCCGAAAAGCAATTGAAAAATTGATAAATCGAGAAATTGTACAATTTAAACAACGAAACATCTGAATTCGATAAATTGGGAAATCAAAAAATTGAATAATCGAAAAATTTTAAAACAGAAAAACTGGAAAATCGAAAATTAAAAAATCTCAAAACTGAAAGAAATATTCAAAAATTGATAAATTGAAACTTGGAGAAGTGGGAAAATCAAAAATAGATTAATTGAGAAATCGGAAAACTGAAAATTTAACGAAGTCAAAATTTGAAAAATTGAAACTTGGAGAAGTGGGAAAATCAAAAATAGATGAATTGACAAATCGAAAAATCTAAAATTTAAAACATTGAACAATCAAAAAATTGCAAAATTGAAGCATGGAGAATCCAATTAAATTTAAAAAATTGAAAAATCGGATAACTAAAAAATCGAAACATTGAAAAATTGGAAAATCGAGAAATTGAAAAGCCCACAAGTAAAAAATCGAAAAACCGAGAAATCGAAAAATCGAAACATCGCAAAATTCAAAACTGAGACAACGAGAAATCGAAAAGCAATTGAAAAATTGATTAATTTGAACAATCAAAACAACGAAACATCTGAATTCGATAAATTCAGAAATCAAAAAATTGAATAATCGAAAAATTTTAAAAAGGAAAAACTGGAAAAACGAAAATGAAAAAATTCCAAAAGTTGAAAAATTGAAATATAGAAGAACTGAAAACTCGAGATATCGAAAAACCTAGAATTTTAAAAACTGTAAAAAATGTAAAGTTTAACAATAAATTGAAAATCCAAAAAGTAAAAAATCGAGAAATCAAAAAATCCATCAATTCAAAAGTCGAAAATTCGAAAAATCGAATTATTGAAAAATCTCATAACTGAAAGAAATATCCAAAAAACCGAGAAATTAAAAAATTGGAAAATTGAGAAATCGAAAAACTAAAAAACAGTCGAAAAAACGTAAGCTTAAAAAATCGAAAAATTGAAGAATTGAAGAAGTGAAAAATCGAAACTTTAGGAAGTCGAGAAATGGAAAAAGAAATAAATATACTTTAGAAAACTGAAAATTTAGAAACGTGAAATTTGAAAAATTAAAAAATCGAAATATTTAAAGAGCAGAGTGAAGAGTGTTTGCTTTTGCTGATGTTTGATGGCGCCATCTGATGTAGAGTAAAATAAACCCAAGCGCGCCCCCTGGATTGATTCCTTGTCCCAAAGCTCCCTATTTAGGTGCAGTAAAATTTGTATTAGGTTGTCCAACTATAGTATACTTACTTAACCAAGGTGTTATTTCACCCCATTGTCTAGGAAATCTCAGAACTGCGGCACTCCCAAAACAAACTAAAAAAAATGGTCCAAGACAAAATCACCGAGCTCGCACACGCCGTTCGCCGCGCCGAACAATACGAATCCGAAGTGAAGAAGCTGAGGAGTCGGGTCGAGGAACTCAAGCGCGACCTGGCGGTGGCGGAGGACGAGCTGGACACTGCGTCCAATACCATAAGGAAGCTCCAGAGAAGCAACGACGAATTGCAGGAGCAAGTGGACAACTTCCAGGTGCAGCTGCAGCACCTTCACACAAGGTTCGTATTTATTTAAACTTGTGGCTGAGCTTAATCAACTTTTAACACCGGGCGAGGTCTTAATTCCTTCTTTCTGTGCTTGTTGACTTTAGTTTGGAGAAGGAGGATGGTGGAGAAGAGATGGCTATTTATGATGAGAATGAGTGTGTAAGTATTTGCATTAATTGGTGTCTCGTGAGGCGGAGTGTACGTTTAATTTTAGAAATTAATAGACGACGATTTTTGCGTCGTACTGGAAAAAAAGTCTGGGGGTTATTAATGCCGTTGTGGTAATTATTGTAGTGTTTTTAGCACGAGTTTCTAACTTACTAGAGGGTGTATTGTGGGTTGCAGCGTCACAATTGACACATAACCGAACTAACACGTGTGTTGTGGGTTGCAGCGTCACAACTGACTTTGCTTAACTTATTATAATTTGATTTTTATACTAATTTTGTCGCCTGAAAACTGGTTTGATCTATAAATCGTGTTCCAGGGTTTCTTTCACTCGATTTTGACATGCAAATATTTTTTTGTTTAGTTTTAAAAGTCCGACTAAATACTCTGCAAAGTCGACTTCTTCAAGGTAAGTACATAAGCATTTCAATGATTTTATTCTTGCGCTTGTTTCTTGAATGACAAAATTTACTAACTACGAACAATAAAATATTTTCGAAATTGCGGTATTTTAAGAGTAATTAAGATTCATTTTCCTGTGTGATGCGTCCATGAATAAAAAGTCTGCAAAAAATGTCTGATAAGGCGCGGCGAGAACTTTTTGTTCATTTTCGTGTTACGCAAAGAGTTCAGTTGGTTTCGATTCTGTTGACGGCGTATGCGGGGCGCAAATTTGTTTGTTTAAGTGTTTTATTTTTGTCAAAAATAATCTCGTTTCGGGCTTAAAGTGAAGAGTGAGTGTTGTGATGTGCCCATGAGGAAGGAGGCTGCAAGGGTCGGCGCGGAATGAAAGGAAATCAGGATTTAAAGGGTAAGTGTTGCATTATATTTATATCGTTTTATTCTAAATTAATATAAAAATACGGATGTTAAGGGAGAAATCAGTTATCGTTATTGTTCACTAAATCAGCAAAACGTTTCATTCATTTTAATTGAATTGAATTTTTTTTCATGTGTTTTTTGTTGCAGTGGGTTCGTACATGAAGATGAGGGAATTCGCTCAATTGTAGCAGAAGACGAAGCCTAAAGGTTAGAAGTTTTCAATAATTTTAAATGGGGTTTTGTTTTGTTTTTTTTTTTTGTTTTCTTTTATAAAGGCTATTTTGATCAGCAAATTTGTCTTATTTTTATTCTATCAAATGTTTTTTGACCTCTTGTTACATATCTTATGCATTATTTTTCTTGTGTGTCTATTTTTAAACAATTTTTTTCTCAAAAATATTTAAATTATATATTATTAATTGTTTATATATTTTTTTTGTTTTTTTTTTAGTGTTTGATTCCGTTCACAATATATTTTAAACTTTTCATTAAACTATGTATATGTAAAATAAAGTTCGCCGGTCTTTTTACTGGTCAACGAAACGACTTTAACCTCTTTTTTTAGATTGGTTCAACAGAGTTTTTACCCGAAACGTCCAGATTTTTGAAAAAAAAAAAATCAGAACTATAAAACAACATTTTGCAGTTTAATTTTGAATCTGCAAAACTGAATGCTTCGAAATTTCGCAGACGCTTTAAAGTTATGTATCAATTAGCTTGTTCTGGGTTTTCGTAAAGTGAAGTTCAAAAGTGCTAAAGTGTTTTCAGTTGTAAATACTAGCCCCGCCCACCCACCCTCTATTTTCTTAAAACGTATATAATTTGCCAAAATCAGTTTTATCTTTACAAATACTAGCCCCACCCACCCGCCCTCTATTTTCCTAAAGGATATATGATTTGTCAAAATCACTCTTATCTTTACAAGTACTAGCCCCACCTACCCGCCCTTTATTTTTTTAGAGGATATATCATTTGTCAAAATCAGTCGTGTCTTAGGAAGAAGTACAAGCCCCACCCACCCGCCCTCTCTGTTTTCTTGGAGGATATATCACTTGCTAGAATCAGTCTTATTTTAGCAAATGCAAGCCCCACCCACCCACCCTCTATTTTTTTAAAAAACATGATTCGCCAAAATCAGTCTTATCTTAACAAATACTGCACCCACCCACCAACCCTCTCCATTTTCTTGAAGGATATATGATTTGCCAAACTCAGTCTTATCTTTCCAAGTACTTGCCCCACCCACCCACCCTCTCTTTTCTTAGAGAGTATCTCATTTGCCCAAATCACTCTTATCTTAGCAGGTACTAGCCCCGCCCACCCACCCTCTCTTTCATTAGAGAATATATCATTTGCCAAAATCTGTCTTACCTTCACAAGTACTTGCCCCACCCACTCGCCCTTTATTTTCTTAGAGGATATATCATTTGCCAAAATCAGTCTTCTCTTAGGAAGTAGAAGCCCCGCCCACCCACCCTCTGTTTTCTTAAAGGATATATAATTTGTCAAAATCAGTTTTATCTTTACAAATACTAACCCCGCCTACCCGCCCTCTATTTTCTTAAGGGATATATAATTTGTCCAAATCATTCTTATCTTAGGAAGTAGAAGCCCCGCCCACCCGCCCTCTGTTTTCTTAAAGGATATATGATTTGCCAAAATCGGTTTTATTTTTACAAATACTAACGCCGCCTACCCGTCCTCTATTTTCTTGAGGGATATATAATTTGTCCAAATCATTCTTATCTTAGGAAGTAGAAGCCCCGCCCACCCGCCCGCTGTTTTCTTAAAGGATATATGATTTACCAAGATCAGTCTTGTCTTTCAAAGTACTAGCCCCACCCACCCACCCTCTCTATTTTCTTAGAGCGTATATCACTTGCCAGAATCAGCCTTATTTTAGCAAATACAAGCCCCACCCTCCCACCCTCTTATTTTCTTAAAGGATATATGATTTGCTAAAATCAGTCTTATCTTTACAAGTACTAGCGCCACCCACCCCGCCCTTTATTTTTTTAGAGTGTACGTCGGTTGCTAAAATCAGTAATTTAAATTTTTAGATTTTTCGACTTTGTTTTTTTTTTTTTAATTTTTACTTATTGGATTTTTGTGACTTTAAATATCTTACATTTTGCGATTTTTCAATTTTTAATTTTTCGAATCGTGGATGTTTTGATTTCGCGATGTTGTAAATTTTCAATTTTTCGAGTTTTTAAATTTTAGATTTTTCACTTTTTGTTTCGATTTTTAGATTTTTCGGTTCTTCAATTTTACGGAATAATTTTTTAATTTTTTGATGTCGATTTTTCAGTGAGTTAAAAATTTTCAGTTTGAGATTTTCCTATTTTTCAATTTTTCGATGTTTCGATTTTTAGCCACTTTCGACTTCTTGATATTCTGATGTTTCGATTCCGGGATTTTTCAATTTTTCGATTTCGTTTCCTCGATTTCTCAGTTTTTCAATAATTCATTTTTTTTATATAAATTTTTGGATTTTTCGATTTCTCAATTAATTTTTTTTTTCGACTTTTTGTTTTTCGCCTTTCCGATTTCTCGATTTCTCAAATGCTCAATGTTTAAGTTTTGGGATCTTTTTTTTCAATATATATTTCGATTTTCCAAAATTTTGCGACTTTTTAAATTTTACATTTTTCGATTTTTCAATTATTTAATTTTTCGATTCGTTGATGTTTGATTTCGCTGTTGTAAATGTTCAATTTTTCTAATTTTTAAATTTTAGATTTTTCACTTTTTGTTTCGATTTCTCAGATTCTCATTTTTCGATTCTTCAATTTTTCGGAATAATGTTTCATTTTTTTGATATGTTGATTTTTCAGTTTTCGATTTAACGGTTTTCTTTCGATTTTTCCCCTTCTCGTTTATAAATTTCCCGGTTTTTCATTTTTTTGAAATTAATTTTTCAGTTTTTCGATGTTTCGACTTTTCCATTTTGAATTTTCAAATTTTTCGATTTTTAGCCACTTCCATTTCACAATTTTTCGATTTTTCCACTTCTCCACTTTTCGATCTTTTTTTTGATGTTTCGATTTTGCGATTTTCCAATCTTTCGATTTCGATTTCCCAGTTTTTCAATAATTCATTTTTTTATATAAATTTCTGGATTTTTCGATTTCTCAAATTTTCAATGTTTAACTTTTCGGATTTTTCAATATGGATTTCGATTTTTAAATTTTTAGATTTTTCGACATTTTTTTTTTATTTTTTACTTATTCGATTTTTCGAAATTTTGCGACTTTTTGAATATATTACATTTTTCGTTTTTTCAATTTTTCGAATTGTTTTTCCCCTTTTCGTTTTTAGAATTTCAATTTTTCGAATTTTTAAATTTTAGATTCTTCACTTTTTGTTTCGATTTATCGTTTTTTTTTCAAAGTTAAAATTTTTCAATTTTAAATGCTCCCATTTTTCGATTTTTAGCTACTTCCATTTCTCAATTTTTCAATTTTTCGACTTCTCGACTTCTCGATCTTACTTTGATGTTTCGATTTCGCGAATTTCCTATTTTTCGATTTCGATTTCTCAGTTTTTCGACGATTAATTTTTTTTATAAATTTTTGAATTTTTCGATTTCTCAATTTCTCGATTAATCTCGATTTGCTTATACAGGGTGACTAAAAAAATTAATGAATGCCTGGATTTATTTTATTGGTTTAATCAGAAACAACACTTTGGAGGTGTTTTAAAGATTTATCATAAATGCATGGCAAATTTTTGATCAAAATGTATTTGCTCATCCCCCCTAAAAAATTGATGACGTCACCTAAAAACTTTTGCTGAAAAATGGTAAATGTGCAAATTATGATGAGTGTATACTTGTGATTTATCACTCGATTAATATTTTTTTATTTGCTTATACGAGGTGTCTAAAAAAATAATGACTGAGTCAATTTATTTTATTGATTAAATCAAGAATTGCCAAACTGAATACTTTGAAATTGATAACGTCATCTCAAAATTTTGCCGATGAATAAATTCTACCCAAGATTGGAAAAATATTAGTATTTGCTAAGATAAGACTGATTTTTGCAAATGACATATATTCTAAGGAAACAGAGGGTGGGTGGGCGGGGCTACTAATTGCTGAGATAAGACGTAATTTTGGCATGACATATACTCTAATAAAACGGAAGGGGTGATGTTATTGCTTTCTTATAAAAGACTATAGGAAAAAGTAAAGTTAGCCCCGCCCACCCACCCGTTTTCTAGTTTTTTCTTCTGAAATAAGAAATAATTCTTCTAGCAGTAGTATACGATTAGCACTTAGCACTTTTTTTTTCTTTTTTTAACAGCCCACGTTAAATAATTAACCCCGCCCACCCACCTCGCCTCCATTTCAGTGATTCATTTTTTCTAGTCTCAATGAAAGGTGGATCTAAATATTCGAAATAAAATCGTTAGAATGAGAACAGGTAAAATCTGCTGAGATACGACTGAATTTGGAAAATGCAAACCCTCTAAAAAAATAAAGGGTGGGTGGGCGGGGCTAATATTTGCTAAGATAAGAGTGATTGTGGCAGATGATATAACCTCTAACAAAATAGAGGGCGGGTGGGCGGGGCTAGTATTTGCTAAGATGAGATTAATTTTAGCAAATGACATACCCTCTAAGAAAACAGAAGGCGGGTGGGCGGGGCTGGTATTGATTAACATAAAACTAATTTTGGTGAATGACTGAACAATATTAAGAGTCGTAACTAAAATGAAGAGGGGGTGGGTGGGCGGGGCTATTGCTTTCTTATAAAAATAGTAGGAAAAAACTTAACTTACCCCCACCCACCCACCCGTTTTTTAGTTTTTTCTTCTGAAATAAGAAATAAATCTTATAGCAAATAGTACACCGAAAAAATTTACGATTAGCACTTTTTAATTTAATCTAATCAACAAAAGAGCATATAATTAATCCCGCCCACCCACCCCACCTCCATTTCAATGATTTATTTTATTTAGTCTGAATGAAAGGTGGATCTTATACCGAAGAGAAATAAAATGGTCAGAATGAGAACATCGGGGGTGGGCAAAGATAGCATTTGCTAAGATAAGACTGAATTTGTTAAATTCAAACCCAAAAAGAAATAAAGGGTGGGTGGGCGGGGCTAATATTTGCTAAGGTGAGATTAATTTTGGCAAATGGCATACCCTCTAAGAAAACAGAAGGCCGGTGGGCGGGGCTAGTATTGATTAATATAAAACTAATTTTGGTGAATGACTGAACAATATTAAGAGTAGTTACTGGAATGAGGAGGTGGTGGGTGGGCGGGGCTATTGCTTTCTTATCGCAGACTATAGGAAAAAGTAAACTTAGCCCCGCCCACCCACCCGTTCTGTAACTTTTTCTTCTGAAGTAGGAAATAGATTTTGTAGCAAATAGTATACCGAAAAAATTACAATTAGCACATTTTTTCTTTTTTTAACAGCCAACGTTATATTAGTTGCAATTTCTACTCTACCAAAGAACATATAATTAACCCCGCCCACCCACCCCGCCTCGATTTCAGTGATTCATTTTATCTACTTTGAATGAAAGGTGGATCTTGTAACGAAGAGAAATAAAATTGTTAGAATGAGAACGGCAAACGTAGTATTTGCTAAGATAAGACTGAACTTGGTGGTAAATTCAAACCTTCTAAAAAATAAAGGGTGGGTGGGCGTAGCTAATATTTGCTAAGATAAGAATGATTGTGGCAGAAGATATAACCTCTGACAAAATAGAGGGCGGGTGGGCGGGGCTACTACTTGCTAAGATGAAATTAATTTTGGCAAATCACATACCCTCTAAGAAAAGAGGAGACGGGTGGGCGGGGCTAGTATTGATTAATATTAAACTAATTTTGGTGAATGACTGAACAATATTCAGGGCAGTTACTGGAATAAAGAAGGGGTGGGTGGGCAGGGCTATTGCTTTCTTATGAAAGACTGTAACAAGAAACTAAATTTAGCCCCGCCCACCCACCCGTTCTCTAATTTTTTTCTTCTGAAATAAGAAATAAATCTTATAGCAAATAGTGTACCGAAAAAATTAATTATGATTAGCACTTTTTTTCTCTTTTAACAGCCTAGGTTCTATTACTTTCAATTTCCACTCTACAAAAGAACATATAATTAACCCCGCCCACCCACCCCGCCTCGATTTCAGTGATTCATTTTATCTAGTCTGAATGAAAGGTGAATTTTACACCGAATAGAAATAAAATCGTTGGAATGAGAACAGCGGGGGTGGGCAAAGGTAGTATTTGATAAGATAAGACTGAATTTGGTAAATGCAAACTCTCTGAAAAAATAAAGGGTGGGTGGGTGGGGTTAGTATTTGCTAAGATGATAGTGATTGTGGCAGATGACATAACCTCTGACAAAATAGAGGGTGGGTGGGCGGGCGGGGCAAGTACTTGCTAAGATGAAATTAATTTTGGCAAATCACATAGCCTCTAAGAAAAGAGAAGGTGGGTGGGCGGGGCTAAGATTGATTAATATTGAACTAATTTTGGTGAATGATTGAACAATATTCAGGGCAGTTACTGGAATAAAGAAGGGGTGGGTGGACGGGGCTATTGCTTTCTTATGAAAGACTGTAGGAAGAGGCTAAACTTAGCCCCGCCCACCCACCCGTTCTTTAATTTTTTTCTTCTGAAATAAGAAATAAATCTTATAGCAAATAGTAGAGCGAAAAAATTACGATTAGCGCTTTTTTTAACAGCTTACGTTCTATTAGTTGCAATTTCCACTCTACAAAAGAACATATAATTAACCCCGCCCACCCACCCCGCCTCGATTTCAGTGATTCATTTTACCTAGTCTGAATGAAAGGTGGATCTTATATCGAAGAGAAATAAAATCGTTAGAATGAGAACAGCGCGGGTGGGCATAGATAGTACTTGCTAAGATAAGACTGAACTTGGTAAATTCAAACCCTCTAAATAAATAAAGGGTGGGTGGGCGGGGCTAATATTTGCTAAGATAAGAGTGATTGGGGCAGATGACATAACCTCTAACAAAATAGAGGGCGGGTGGGCGGGGCTAGTATTTGCTAAAATGTGACTAATTTTGGCAAATGCCAGTGATTGCAAAGGGAATGTATGCATTTTAATTTTTCGTTTTCACTTGTGATTTATCATGGCCTTCATATTTTTTAGATTTGATTAAATCAGTAAAGGCTCGGTCCTTTTTTCCAGAAAATTTGCAACTTTTTACTTAAAGTACTGCTTTTTTGGCACACGACTTTCCGTTTCTCGACTTCCATTTTGTTTTTTCAATTTCTATTTTTTCAATTTTTCGTTCCTTCAAATTTTGTTATTTTAAAATTTTTCAGGTTTACGATTGTCCAACTTTTGGATGTTCCCATTTTTAGATTTTGCAATTTTTCAAATTCATTTCTTCTATTTTTCAATTTGCAATTTTTCACTTCGGTTTTTTTTATTATTATTTCTCGAGTTTTCAATTTTTAATTTTTCGTTTTGGTTTTCTGTTTTCTTTATATTTTCATTTTTCGATTTTCCGACTTTCAATTTTTAGATTTGAAATTTCTCGAGTTTTCAATTTTTCGATTCTTCAGTTCTTAAATTTGCAATTTTTCGTTTCGGTTTTTATTTTCTTTATTTCTTCAATTATTAATTTTTGTTTTTTCAATTGTTCATTTTTTTGTTCCAGTCTTTCGATTTTGCGATTTTTGCGTTTTCAGTTTTTAATTCCATTTATTTTTACAATTTTTAGAATTTTCGCTTTAAAATTTTGAAGTTTTCAGCTTTGGAATTTTTCTGTTTTTCGATTTTTCAGTTTCTCGATCTTAGTTTTTGGTTTGTGTTTTTTTGTTCTGTGAATTTTTAGATTATTCGGCTTTTCGATTTTTAAGTTTGGATTTACAATTAAAACATTTTTTCGGTCATTTGAATTTTTCAAATTTAGATTTTTCGGTTTCCCGATTTTTAAAATGTTCCGATCTTTCAATTTTCGTGTCATTAGGTCTTCGATTTGCTTTTTTGTATTTAAAATTTTTCGATTTGGGATTTTTGGTTTTTTACTTTTTAGATTTTGCCAGTGTTTCTATTTTTTTTAATTTTTTCAAATTTTATTGTTACAATTCATTTTTTAATAATCTTTATTTTTTTTACTTTACTTCTTTATTTAAACACCCGCCTGCTATACTCTGTCATGAAATAAAAAATAAATTGCCTTATTTAGTTAAGGATATCGTGCTGACCAAAATTTATCTAATAATCTCCACCAACAATTAAGTGGGGTAGTCTTTTTTTCGTAGTAACTCATATTCATACTTTACAACATAACATACTCCTATATTTGTGGTTTATGAGTCTGCCTTGATTTTTATCGCAATTACTTTACAAAAAATTTACGTATAGCTAGTATTTGAGTTTTTGAAATATATTTATTTGTTTATCCAACAATTGTTATGTAAATTTTGTCATTCAAGAAACAATGCTTGTTACCAAAATGAATTATTTCTTTATTTCCATGTACTTAGTTTAAACAAAACGACTTTGCAAAATATTTTGCTAGTACCAAATACAATCAAAGAATTATTTCTTAATTAAAAAAAAAAATGGCATGTCAGAATTGAGTGAAACTTGTGAAACATGATATTGTTAGTAAATCGTAAATCGGTGTAAATCGCTTCAGAGCGCTTAGAGTCGACATTGGCCTGAGCCCGCTCCGGCTTGTAGATCAAACCAGTTCTCAGTCAGTCGTTTCGAATTCAGTGTAACTTTATTTTTTCTCACAGGTTACGTAATTGCAGTTCTTCGAGTTTGCTCTCCCACCGGGGGACTCTTCTCACAGGAGAAGCCAGCGACGACGACGTAACCGAATATTAGTTTCCCTTCCATTACAATACGTCAACTAATAAAACTAGGTTTTAATTTAATCCACCACCACACTAACGCGAAACGTACTTAAGTAGATCTGGTTATTTCCCAACTTGTGTTCATCGCTTTTTAATTTATTGCTTCTCAAGCGTGCGCGAGATAATTCGATTGCGAACGATCTCGCTCACCCATGTACATACTTTTGTATACTAGTAGCCACTACCAGGTAGAATAGACATTATTTTTATATGACCGGCACAATTTTAATGTGATTTCATCCTACAACAGTTCGGTTCTGAAAATCGTGACGTCAGAGACACTAAAAAAGGCCTAGCGGATCTAGGTTTGTCCTGTTTTCGACTGATATGTAAAGGGTAGACTGACTTTGTTTACACTATTTTTCAAAATGCATGATTGTTGATGTGTACACGTAGTGTTGCGTACTTTCACGCTTTATTCCCCAGCGTGGAAAGCGCCTGCCCCCAATAATCGTCTTCCACTCATGAAAATTCACTTTTCCATTTTTTTTTTTTTTTTATTTTTCATTTTCGGATTGTTGTGTGCAGCAGCTTCCACGCACCATCACAACAGGGTGTCGACTGACGATTTTTCGTGGGGAGTGATGCGTGGCCGTACACTGCGTCTTGTGTTATTTAATAGTGACTAAGCTTTAAGACTAAGATAGGGTTACCGTTTTCGTTTCATCTTTCGCTGATTTTGTCCGCGCATCGAAATTGCAATAACACAAGACTCCACTGATCAATCACCCCTAGCAATAAATCGTAAGAGTATTGTTCGATTCACAACAGTGTTGCACTTATTAGTGCCTTAATATTTCACTTATGGTTTCGTGGTGTTTCGTTTGTGATAAGTAATGGTTGTTTTCGGTTGGTTGCAAGAGCACTATTTTCGGGTTATAAGGAGTACCTTTTTTGAGTATTAAAATGTACCTAGCTGTTTCGCTCAGGGCTATGTATCACGTGTAATTCGTGCCAATAAAATATTTAAGTAAGGTGGGGGTTTATTTCGGGGAGTGGGGAGCGTGAAACGTCGGACTTGGTCAAAAATCTCGTCCTAATTTTCATATATGATTGACGTTTTATGTTCCCCATTTGACGTTAAATTGAAGATTAAAATGTATGTTGGCGATCCTGTATTATTGGCAGCAATATTAATTCGTAATTGTCAATTTTGACATTTTTAAATTCGAAAAAGTATCTGAAACATAACCTAAATTTATCGCCATTGGCGTATTTGTCACACATTACTTCCGGTACACTGACATAAACGCAAGAAAAGTTCACATTTTTGTATAAAAAGTTTGTTGGCAACTTTTAGATAAAAATGGTTCACGTTGCATCAACCTTTTCAAGGTCACACATTTTCTGTTCATGCTTGTGTACCGTTTAGAATGATCAAATTTCGATTTACTTCAGTAAAAGATTTTCTGTTTTTTCTGGCGTAAACTTGACAAAAACAAAAATTACTGACACCATTTGACAGACCGCGAAATCTAAAATGGTTTTAAAGTTTGTAGTTTATACACAAAATTTGGATCTGTAATTTGAATAAAATTCAAAAAAAAGGTAAAAGTGAATCAATGGAGTTTAAACAAGTGACCGCCATATACCTACAAATGATTATTTTTTAACAAAAATGAATACATATTTAAATTTATCGTGGGTAGATTTTAAATGGCGAGTGGTGTTTTTTATCAACCTGATTTGGTGAAAAATTGAATGAACTGACGAATATTGACAATTCGAAAATAATGAATAACATTTTTCGATTTTTCGATTTGGTGATGTTTTGATTGCTCGATTTTTTAAATTTTAACTTTTTCGGATTTTTTGATTTGAAATTTTTCACTTTTTTGTTGTTTCGATTTCTCAATCCTTTGATTTTTTGCCTTCTCGTTTTTTCAATTTTTCGAAATTAATTTTTCAATTTTTCGATATTTCGATTTTTGAATTTTCGATTTAACGGTTTTTTTTCGATTTTTCCCTTTCTCGTTTTTAGATGTCCCGGTTTTTCAATTTTTCGGAATTAATTTTTCAGTTTTTCCTTGTTTCCATTTTTCACTTCTTTGATTTATCGGTTTTTTAAGTTGAAATTTTTCACTTTTTTGACGTCTCGATTTTTTCATGTTTCGTTTCTTTTTATAAATTGTTGGATTTTTCGACGATGTTTAAGTTTTAGGATTTTTCAATATGTATTTCGATTTTTAGCGACTTTTTAAATCTTACGTTTTTCGATTTTTCAATTTTTTAATTTTTGGATTCGTTGATTTTTTGGTTTCGCGATGTTGTAAATTTTCAATTTTTCGAATTTTTAAATTTTAGATTTTTCACTTTTTGCTGTTTCCATTTCTCAGTCTTTCGATTTTTTTCCTTCTCATTTTTAGATTTTTCGATTTATCGGGTTTTTTAAGTTTAAATTTTTCAATTTTGAATTTTCCCATTTTTCAATCTTCAGCTATTGCGATATCTCAATTTTTCGATTTCTCAAATTTTCAATGTTTAAATTTTGGGATTCTTCAATATGTGTTTCGATTTTAAAACTTTTAGATTTTTCGACTTTGTTTTTTTTCTATTTTTAACTTATTCGATTTTTCTTTCGATTTTTCCCCTTCTCGTTTTAGATTTTCCAGTTTTTCAATTTTTTGGAATTATATTAATTTTTCAGTTTTTCGACGTTTCGATTTTTCACTTTTCCTGTTTATCTGTTTTTTTTAAGTTAAAATTTTTCAATTTTGAATTTTCCCATTTTTCGATTTTTGCCACTTCCATTTCTCAATTTTTCGAATTTTCGACTTCACCACTTTTCGATCTTTTTTTTGATGTTTCGATTTCGTAATTTTCCAATTTTTCGATTTCGATTTCTCAGTTTTTCGATAATTCATTTTTAAATTTTTGGATTTTTCGATTTCCCAATTAGAATTTTTTTTTTTTTGATTATTAATCGATTTATTTTTCTACTTTTTGATTTTTCAGTATGTATTTCGATTTTTCAAAATTTTGCGACTTTTTAAATCTTACATTTTTCGATTTGTTGATGTTTTGATTTCGCGATGTAAATTTTCAATTTTTCGAATTTTTCAATTTTAGATTTTTCACTTTTTGTTGTTTCGATTTCTCAGATTCTCATTTTTAGATTTTTCGTTTCTTCAATTTTTCGGAATAAATTTTTCAATTTTTTGAGATGTCTCTTTTTCAGTTTTCGATTTAACGGTTTTCTTTCGATTTTTCCCCTTGTCGTTTTTAGATTTTCCGGTTTATTGGATTTTTAAAGTTAAAATTTTTCAATATTGAATTTTCCCATTTTTTGGATTTTTAACCACTTCCATTTCTCAATTTTTCGATTTTTCGACTTCTCGATCTTTTTTTGATGTTTGGATTACGTGATTTTCCAATTTTTCGATTTCGATTTCTCAGTTTTTTGATAATATATAAATTTTTGGATTTTTCGATTTCTCAATTTCTCGATTAATCGATATTTTTATTTCTCGACTTTTTGATTTTTCGTCTTTCCGTTTTCTCGATTTCTCAAATTTTCAATGTTTAAGTTTTGGGATTTTTCAATATGTATTTCGATTTTTAGATTTTTCGACTTTCTGTTTTTTTGTTGTTGTACTTATTCGATTTTTCAGAATTTTGCAACTTTTTAAATCTTACATTTTTTAATTTTCCCATTTTTTGATCTTCAGCTATTGCGATATCTCAATTTTTCGATTTTTCGACTTCTCGACTTATCGGTCTTTCCGATTTCGCGATTTTTCAATTTTTCGATTTCTCACGTTTTCGATAATTTATTTTTTTATATACATTTTTGGATTTTTCGTTTGCTCAATTTCTCGATTTATCAGTTTTTCGATAATTCACTTTTTTATATAAATTTTTGGATTTTTTGATTTGTCAATTTCTCGATTAATCGATTTTTTTATTTTTCGACTTTTTGATTTTTCGTTTTGTCGATTTCTGGATTTCTCAAATTTTCAGTGTTTAAGTTTTGGGATTTTTCTGTTTTTTTTTATTTCTTACTTATTCGATTTTTCAAAATTTTGTGACTTTAAATATCTTACATTTTTCGATTTTTCAATTTTTTAATTTTTCGATTCGTTGATGTTTTGATTTCGCGATGTTGTAAATTTTCAATTTTTCGAATTTTTAAATTTCAAATTTTTCACTTTTTGTTTCGATTTTTCAGTTTTTCGATATTTCGATTCTTCTTTTTTTCTGGTTATCGTTTTTTTTTTGGTTTAAATTTTTCAATTTTGAATTTTCCCATATTTCGATCTTCAGCTATTGCGATATCTCAATTTTTCGATTTTTCGATTTACGTTGTTTCGATTTGGCGATTTTCCAATTTTTCGATTTTCCAGTTTTTCGAGAATTCATTTTTTACATAAATTTGTAGATTTTTCTATTTCTCAAATTTTCAATGCTTAAATTTTGGGATTTTTAAATTTTTAGATTTTTCGTCTCTGTTTTGTTTTGGATTATTCGGTTTTTCAAAATTTTGTGAGTTGAAACATCTTACATTTGTTGTAAATTTTCAATTTTTCGAAATTTTAAATTTCTCGCTTTTTGTTGTTTCGATTTCTCAGTCTTTGGATTTTTTGACTTCTCATTTTTAGATTTTCCGATTCTTCAATTTTTCGTACTTAATTTTTAAATTTTTTAATGTCTATTTTTCAGTTTTCGATTTTTCCCCTTTTCATTTTTAGATTTTCCGGTTTTTCAATTTTTTGGAACTGATTCTTCAGTTTCGATATTCATTTTTTTAATATAAATTTTTGGATTTTTCGATTTCTCAATTCCGCGATTAATCGATTTCTCCATTTCTCAATTTTACGATTTTTCGAATTTTCAGTGTTTGAGTTTTGAGATTTTTCAATATGTATTTCGGTTTTTAGATTTTTACATTTTTCGACTTTGTTTTTTTTGATTTATCACTTTTTGGTTGTTTCGATTTCACAATATTTTGATTTTTTGCCTTCTCGTTTATAGATGTTCCATTTTTCAATTTTTCGATTTAACGATTTTCTTTCAATTTTTCCCCTTCTCGTTTTTAGATTTTCCGCTTTTTCAATGTTTTGGAATTATTAATTTTTCGGTTTTTCGTTGTTTCGATTTCGCACTTTTCCGGTTTATCAATTTTTTTAAATTAAAGTTTTTCAATCTTGAATTTTCCCATTTTTCGATTTTTAGCCACTTTCATTTCTGCATTTTTCGATTTTTCGACTTCTCGATCTTTGGATGTTTGGATTTCGTGATTTTTCAATTTCGATTCCTCGATTTCTCAGTTTTTCGATAATTCATTTTTTATATAAATTTTTGGATTTTTCGGTTAATCGGTTCTTTATTTTTCTTTTTGATTTTTCGTCTTTCCAATTTCTCGATTTCCCAAATTCTCATTGTTAAAGTTTTTGGGTTTTTCAATATGTATTTCGATTTTAAAATTTTTAGATTTTTCGACTTTCTCTTTTTTTGATTTTGTACTTATTTGATTTTTCAAAATTTTGCGAGACTTTTTAAATCTTAAATTTTTTGATTTTTCGATTCGTTGATGTTCTAAATTTTCGATTTTACATATCGGATTTTGGGTCAAAATTTTTGAGTATTGTTTCCCATTTTTCCATCTTTTGATGTTTCGATTTTGCGGTTTTTCAATTTTCCGACGTTTCAGTTTTGGGATTTTTGAAATTTTCGATTTTTAAATTGTCAAATTTTTCGACTTTGTTTTTTGATTGTTTACTTATTGGATTTTTCAAATCTTTTTAGTCTTTAAATCTTACAACATTTTCATCGATTCGATATTTTAATTTTTGGATTTTTGGATCTTTTAGATTTTTCGGTTTTGACCATTCGAAATCGAAACATCACATATTAAAAGAAAAGACGCTAGGAGCCCCTAAGATTCTGTAAAATTCTTTCCAAATAAAACACAAGAGGCCCCCAAGATTTTTTTATATTACAAGAACACTAAAGTTATTTAGTTCCCTCGCCTCTG